GCCCGGGTGCTGGGCAGGCAGGCCGAGGGCCGGAGCGAGGCGCCGCCGGAGGAGAATGAAAGTGCTGGGGTGTGGGGGAGGGGACGCTCACTCGGGCCCCAGCCGCCGACATTCCCTCCACACCCACCGCCCGCCCCAAATCAAGTCTTCCGCCCGCCCCACTCCAGTCAGGGGCTGCCTTCTTCCTGCCTACCTTTGAATTTGAGGTCTGTGGGCGGGTCGAGGACCAAGATCTGCTCGTGCTTCGCCATGGCCCCAGAGGCGGACGCCATCGGAGAGACAGCGCAGAGCGGGGGCGCGCCCGCGGCGGCGGTTTGCTGGCTGGGGGCGGGGGACGGCGGCGCCGGCTCGGCCGAGTTCTGTGATGGGACCAGCTCAAGGCTCCCGTACCCCGAGGCCTGCCGCTCTGTCGCCGGGTCCGTGGGCCGCCCGCTAGGTCAGCAGCTCCGGGTCTCACAACTGACTCAACCTCACACCAGCCGCCGCGGCCACGCGCACTGCGATCCTTGGCGCCCCACGTGACAGCTTCTGCGTGCCTGCGTGCGCGACCCGGCGGCAGGAGTCCCTAGCGCTCGTCCCGCCCTCCAGTACTGCCTTACACGGCGCGGGCTAGTGCGCCTGCGCGCTCCTGGCTTCCTAGCTGCTTGGGAGCACAGCCCAGCTGTCAAGGGAACGGGTGCGGACAGGGGGCGGAGCTAAGCTCCGTGAGACTGACGCGGTGCGCACAGCCAGGCAGGAAGGCACAATCTTCGGTCACGTTTTGCTCCTCTTACGAAACCGGAGAACCCGATGTGGCAATGCATCACCATCTTCCAAGTGGGAATGCCTAACGGAAGGGCTAGTCCGACTAATTAGACACAACTACCAGCATGCTCCGTGCAGGGGCGGAGCTGCCGCCCAGGGCCTGGTCCTTTTGCGGCACTGCGCGATGCTTGCTGGGAATTGTAGTAATGGCAGTTTGTGGGCGGGAAGGAGGATGAGGTCAGTTGGAAGCCATTAAGGTTGAGCACGCTGACACTCGTTTTGGCTCTCAGGGAGCTTCTCGTCTATCCTTAAAAAGAAAAAAAGACTTCTGGAGACTGACCCGAGGTCCCCCTGGTTAGAAATGAAAAATATGCTCTGGAAAACATACAAGAGTCTGTCGGTTTGCTCTCTAATTCTATCCGTCCCTCTATTAGGAGAGGTAAATTGTATGTCGTATTCTAATCCAACCTCTCCTGCTTCCTGAATTCTGTCCAGTGATGTAAAAGCAGTTGAGAAAATGCTCTTCTAAGAAAAAAACGCGTCTTTGGGGAAATTTGACAAAGCACACGTGTAAAGCTAGAAATAAAAGTCAAAATCTACAGCGTTTAGTTGCTGTAGTCTATTTTTCAGTTCTTATTACTGATAGGCCCAAACCAAAACACTTGTCACGTTCACATATTGGAAATGAATTCCAAACTGCATCTTTTACGGTAACATGTAGCAAAGTGAGCCAAATGAGAAGAATCCCAGCAACAAAGTTGCTAACAAATCTTAAACCGATTGCCAAGGTTAATGCGGACAGAACATTAAATGAAACAAATGAATGTGCTATAAATAAACCTTTATAGTACTTCTTGAATTTAAATCCCTAGGAAGCACCAGGAAACAAAAGAAAAACTGCTGCTGGCTGCTACCTTGAAGGAGCAGCCCAGATTTGTCTAGAAAACAAATGAGACAAATGAAACAATAGTCTAGGCACAGGCACAAAGTCCAAGTTTTCACGTGTGATCCAGATATCAGGTCCATCCAGGAATAGCTCTCTGGACTAGCTAGCCTAGCATTCACAAACGATTGTGCAACACAAGAGAGATGTATCTGCAGCCATGAAAAACCTGAGATGGGAGTGCGTCAATAGTTTGGAAAAAAGCATATTCTAAAGTTACCTTTCCTTGATTTCTTCACAAAATTTATTTTTTAATTTTAATTATCATTAAAGGAGAATACAAAAATTGTATGTTTATCAAAAGAGATCTTAAGGTTTAAAAAAAGTTGAAGCTGATAGTCATGCCACAAGGAGGTGTCCCACATAATTTTAGTCATGAACTGACAACCCTAAAACTGACACAAATACCACTGTTTTGCTTGCCTAGGAACTCTTATCCATGGGCAAGTTATCCTTGACTGAATGGCTCCTCCACAGCTAGATGGCACTTCTTTTAGAAAGTATATGGGAATCTCCAGTGTGCAAACAACCAATTAGCAGATGTAGCATTCTGAGGAAGTTCCCAGTCACTCTCCATTCACCAAGAGTTCAATAGAAAGCTGGAACTGGATGTATTCTAGATTCCTAGTCATTAAGAAACCTCTGCCCATTTAAGTCATCACCTTTGGAAACACTGTTTTTCTCTTCTAAATATTGCTTCAAAAATTATATAGGTATAGTCTTAAAATCTATACGAATTTACATATATGGTAGTCTAAGAATACATGAAATGTCTGTGGAATAATTCTGCTATTCCTATTTTAGAGCATTGCATTAATAATGACTCCGAGTCTTCCTGAACCAGTTACCCCTCATTAAATAGTGCATTATTTCAGTGGTTTGTGCTTTGGTATTTATTAATACATTTCTTCTAACAGTTCAAAGAACTTTACTGACAATTTCGCACGCTACTCAGAACTTTAAAACAATTAGCAAGTGTTAATTTATTGTTAAATATGGAAAAGAAAACACAAATGAGAACATCTCACATCAGTAACAGAGCTAAAATATAGAAAGTTACCCAATTTTTCATTCTGTCCATTTTTGTTCTCCTGAAGTCACAATAAAATGACTACCAAGAGTGATTAAGGCAACGACTTAAAATGTAACCGACTTACTTATTGTTTAACACTTGAGCTAGGAATGGAGAACCATGTGGCCTCATGTTCATTGCTTATTTTACATTGATAAATGCAGCACATAAAGTTCTCCTGAGGAATTAGCAAAATAATATACTCAAGCGTATTTCTCTAGATCCCAAGTTTTCCTGAATCTAAGAGGCCTTAAATATTACTTCAACCTACTTAAATCACTAATGATAGTCACATTTGGACAGATTATCTCTTATGGGTTTGGCAAGGATAAAAAAAAACAAAAACACAAGTTTCCAGTACAAATGATAACAAAGTACACCATCTTCTCCATAGTTAAACATGTTAAACTTTACTATAGAGCTGCTCTATAATTATGAATATGTTTACGATCAATTCTCTGCACAATTCAATTCAGTAAACATTTAAATGAGCACGTTTTCAATAATAAATATTGAGGCAGTAAAGTGTATTGAATAAGAGTGAGGGTTTCAATCTGAACTGCCAAGTTCAAGTCCTATTCTCCACTGTGTGGTCTTAGCAACTTATTTCACCTCTCTGTGCCTGTTACACATCTGTAAATTGGGGAGAATGATAATACCTATATCTGAAGTTTGTTATGAGAATTAAATGAGTCAATAGACACGCTCCATCACTTTTTGCCCAGTTGTACATTTATACACTATGGCCTTTTCCATAGAATGGCAACAATACAACCTATATTTAATATCGCTTACAAATATTAAATGATGTAATGTAAATAAAGTGTTTAGCATAGTGCTTGGCAAATAGTAAGCTTTTAAAAAATGATTGTTATATGATAGTGCACAATATTTGGTATCTCCTTTGAAATATAAGCCATATATATATAAGTTGTTAGGCATTTAAATCCACAACCAAATGTTATCTTCTTAATGAGATACTTCATTAACAGAAGATAATTTTCTAAGGTTTTCTGAAAATAATGAGCATTGTGTTTTTTTGTATTTATTTATTCTAATTATTGGTTGATGACCTGTTCTTGGCCAAGTCCTAGGGCAGACACAAAAATGACTAATACCTAATTTCAATCCTGAAGAAGTTGATGGTCTAAATGGATTTACACAAGCATAATCCAATGGGTGATGTGCTATAAGAGAAGCAACTGAAAAGCATTATGGAAGACTAGGAACAGGAGTGATTAACTCTGAGGGAGTTAAATGCTTTGTAGATATCTGACTATTTCAAGATCATGGCATTTTTTTATGTCCTGGTACTATAAACACACACGTGTGTGCATGTGCGTACACACACACACACACACACTCACCTTTCTAAGATTTACTACTAGAAAATTTAATTTATTTTCCTGAAGGGTTTTTGTTTGTGTTTTTTTGTTTTGTTTCATTTTGCTTGTGGTTAAGAACAAAAATATTTGATGTTCATAGTAGCATTATTCACAATAGCCAAAAGCTGGAAGCAACCCAGGTGTCCATCAACAGATGCGTGGAGACCAAATGTGATAGATACACACAATAGAATATTATTCAGCCTTAAAAAGGATATTATGACACATGCTACAATATGAATGAATCTCAAAGACATTATGCTAAATGAAATAAACCATACACAAAAGAATAAATACTGCAGGATTCCACTTACATGAGGTACCTAAAGTAATCAAACTCATAGAGACAGAAAGTAGAATGATGGTTACCTGGGCCCGGAGGAAGAGGAAATGGAAGAGTTACTGTTTATGGGTACAGAGTTTCAGTCTGTGAAGATGAACAAAGTTCTATAGATGGTTATTGGTGATGGTTGCACATTATGAATGTACTTAATGCCACTGAACTGTACATTTAAAAATAGTTAAAATGTTAACTTTTATGTTAGGTTATTTTACCACAATAAAGTAAAAGAATAAAAACATTTGTTTTGTTTCGCACACTTAATAATTTCATTCTGTGACAGTGCTTTCCTGTCTCCTTCCATCTCGATAGCTCCTCTTACCTCACTTAACCTGACCTTTTTGAGAAATAACTTGGGCATCAGAGGTTAGGCTCACTCAAATCTGGGGTCAGTTCTTGGCTCTATCACTTATATAGGGATAATGAAACTATTTACCTCACAGGGTTGTTGTGAAAATTAAATGAGATAATACTTATGAATATCTGAATACAGTGCTTGGCACTTGTAAGTGCTCAATAAATGTCACCACTATTGTTTACTTCATAATTGCTCATTCGTAGGCAAGCAAGAACCTCCATTTCTGCCTCCCTTTTTAAGAGGCAGCATAACTTCGGATAAACAGGATTATAAATTTACCTGAAGAAAATCATAAATCATAAAACTGAATTACCACTGGAGACTCAGTGACACAATCTGACAAATAGTTACTTCCAAAGGAAGTTTCTTTGGGCATCCTGTTGAACTTGATGCTAGTACTGTCATATAAGTCTAGACTATATTTCATCAGCATATTAAGTAAGTTCTTAACCATTGCATTTAAAAAAAGAATATAAATTCATTTGGGGATCACTTTTTTATTGCAGAGATAAGTAAGTACCTGTGCTCCTAAACCAGTGGTTTAAGCCTAGGGGCCAAATGAAGATTGGGTGACACCATGATAAAATAGATACTCAATCTAGTGAGACCCAACCAGTTGCTACTCAGGAACCTGAAAAGTTCAGTTTGAACATGAATATGATGAGTTCACTCACCACAACCAGAGCACCTGTGAGGTGGGGTGGGAGT